TGGGGGTTCGGCTGGTAAAAATCTAATTGGTGGGGAAACTCTAGCAGATATTTATTTATCTACTCATTTATTTACTTATTTGTTTACCTCTGTTTATTTATTTGCCTACTTGTTTTTATTTTCGATTTTATTACTATTCCTTTTATTTATTTCTTTATACTGTTTATACCGGACTCGAATTTATTTACACGAGATCATACGGTGACGTTCAGATATCCATGGATTGTCGTCGGAAGCATCTGAAGCCATTGCTGATTTGAGGGACCGACTTCAAGAGACCCTCTATCACGTCGTTCGCGAGACGCATCCCAAAGAAGTCGCGTCATCGCGATTCGGAAACCTCCTGCTGTTCATTCCAAGCGTCATGGTCCGTTCGGTCATCTTTGTTTATTACTTTTTATTTAGTGTTATTGTTTTCCATTTTTTACAAGTACAAGTTTTCAAAGAAACAGGGCAGGATTTTCTATGGAAGTTTTCACAATATAGCGTCCCTTCTCGAACACCACTTATGGTTTTGAGTGGAGCGAATGCGCGGCGCATCCCAGCAAGGCTTTGCCTTTACCCTTATTCCCTCGAAGAATGAACTTTGATCCATAAAAGTGTACACTTGTTTAACACTGTTCGCAAATCACTTCTGAGTTATGTACACATTACACCTCAAAAAACAGCTGAGCAGTTCTGAAATTTTTGGGGCAAGCCCCGCCCACTTTGTGCACACTCCACCCAATGCGATACATATCTATCCATAAGGAAGACGACTGTTTGACTGAACATTGAAATATGCAGCAGAAAATAATTACCTTGAAACTTTTCCAGATGCTGGGAACGGTGGTCTGTGACAACTTGGAAATAGTCGACTCATTTGGACATATGCCAGATCGCCTAATGCATGATGTTCTGCAAGAATGTATTGCCGAACCCACGCCTTCGGATAATATGGTAACCTTTCTATATTTTTGTCCCCCGGTAGCGTCAACTATTATCTGGGGCCGCTATCCTTATAGATCTGAAATGTGCTTTGAATTTGCTTAGGGTTAGCAATTGACAGAAGTCTAAAGAAAACTTTCGTAGTTTAGGATAGCAACGGAATTTCACAGCAGCCTCAACACCCGTCCGACTCGAACATGCTCCACTCCGCATCGTCGACTTCGATTGAGTCACTTTGCAGTTATCCTGAAGCATACACCTACAGCAATAGTGGTCCCGGATTGCCGTACAAGTAAGTGATATTGGGGTGTCGATAGGAGATTTGCGTAAGAGTCCAGTAAAAAACCTCAAGCGTGGTGAGAGGTGCGGTGCGGACGAACCCGTTCCCCATTTCAGTAGTCCCTGTGGTCCATTCGCTCTTCACTGAAGCCGTCAAACAAAAGCTCCTAGATACAAGTGAGGAGTCAGTGGTGTTGGGCTTGTAAGGGATTGACGAAACAACATTAGAACGGCGCAGAGCTTCTTCAACGCAGATTCTTGCTCTCCTAAAGGCCAGAGCAGGACGGCAGGAAGTTGGCGTGCCGCGCGGCAAGCGGCCGGCGTCTGGGTCCTTGCTACGCAGGCGGTACTCTTCGGCTGCAACACGACGTAGTCCCACAATTCAGGGGGCATGCCATTTGCTAGGTGTGTATCCTACCAAATGAATCTATAACCATTAATCTCTGTATCCTACAAACGAATCTAGCACCATTTAATCTACCCGTAAGGATGAAACACTTGAACCTGGGTGAGATTCGATACGGGGATGCTTCTCAGTATACATTTTTCCCTATGTCATTACTGCTGCAAGAAGCTCTTCTAGTCAGCTCTTCAGGGGATGGGGTTTGCAGAGCCGAGTGGACATGTGGGCATGATCAAACCAATCTTTTTGCTGCCAAACAAACAGTAATCCTGGCCTAGTGTAGGCCGTACCGCGACCGCGCGCGGCTGCACCACGCATAGTCCGTCTTCGATAAAGCAACTCATCAGTTAAGAGCATGTTCCTATTTGTTTCAGCCTCTCCAGCAACTCTTTACCATCAACCATGTCGAATTTCGAGGTGTCCATAAATGGAGCGTCATCGATGCCGAATTTGGATCACATGCCCGAATGTGACCCGGACTATAACGTCACCCTTACTCCTGATATGTACTGCGGTAAGTAACCGCTATATTGGGACTTGAATGTGAACAATAGCAGCGGGGGATGGGGGCGGGGGACGTATACGCCCACTATTGATGCACTGCATATCTAAATTGCACTATTATTTTTTACTTATTTATTTGTTGACTGCGTATTTATCATTTATTATTATGTGCTCATGAGAATATGTTGCAAAAGGTCACCACGCGACGATGCGCCGACTAACAATTCAAATTTAGCTGAAAGGGTAATACGCACTGCGCCAGCATATCATTTACACAGCGAAAAAATAAGCAGCCCGACCGCAAGGAAGCGCGACCCGCCGGCTTCGGCGGGTCGGTCCATCTCCGTTTGGCGCGCAAATTCGAAATTCATCCCGACGCGACGTCGCGCGGTGACCTCTTGCCACGCACCTTATCAGATGTAGCGCCACTCAGTGTTCTTCTACAGATATGCGCAATGCGATGTCGATGACGCAGGCCATGGACGCTTCAATGGGAGTGGAACGCGTTCAACAAAGTAACGAATCCGTGCCCTCTGTGCCAAACAGTCCAACAGCCGAATCGCAGCCATCGTTCTACATCGAAAGCAGTCGTCATACCTTCACCGTTACAACCAATGTCGACAATAGGTACGAGTACATTCGTTTTCAGTTTTATTTGCTGCTCAGCTCAAATTTCTCTTGGGTACAATTTACAACAAGA